TACGCTTTTTTTTACCACCGTCCTTTACCAAACAGTTGTCCTCTGCAACATAATGATGATTGCAAGCAAAGGGAAAATGTTGATGTACAATGATGATGAATTATCAGCCTTGCGATTACTGACCAGTGATCACTGATAATTACAAGATTCTCGAGTTGTGATAACTCAAGAATCTTGTAAATTATCAGTGATCACGATGAAGATCTTAGCTAAACAAGTCTTGTAATTATTGAAGATAATATTACCCATGACAAATGAATCATCGGTCTTTCCATCATACAATAATTCTACTCTAAAAAACACCTAAGAAATTCCGAAGATCGTGTAAAAAACTGGAAACCCTAGAAATCACATGAATCTTATCGTGGGACATTACTAAAATCCCAAAAAGAAAATCTCAACCTGAAAATATTTCTGAAATCAAGAAGTACCAGTTTTAATTAAAGATTTTCGGGGTGGCACTTGGGCAGGGAACATTCTCCTAAAATTTCAGCTTCCTGGTCTGTCTGGACTGTGGATTGAAAACCTGGGACAAAAGCACATACACACACACACACACACACATACATACGTACATACACAGCTATAATATTTCAGATAAAGAAATTCCTTTGCAATTGTGCTGCTGTTTCGTGCTTAGGTCCAGTAGTGTTATTTCGCTCTCGATCTCTATGCTCGCTATTGCTGATAACAATCTGTTTTTGAAAGAGTTTCTTTGTTTTGGCATTGAATGGTGATGTTTTGGGGTGTTTTTGGGGGTTCTGGGTAGTTGTCTGGGGGATCGCGGTGGGTGGGGGACATGCTTGGGCCGTAAACTTGTTGCTCGGGGGATTCAGGCATGCTGCAAGGGGACGGGAGGCAAGTGCCCTCGACGCTCTCTGCTGCTCTTCGTCGGCACGGCGAGAGGCCGGTGCACAATATCAGCGAGAGTTTTGCAGGGAGGAATGCGGCCAGTCTACGGCCCGGCACTACTGTACGTGAGCCTACGTGACGTGGTACTTTGGCGCCAGTATTGCTGCTGACAGGTAATCTCACTTCATGTTGTTTGAGGCGATGATCCGTCGTTCCTCAGTTATGAGAGGACCCGGTTAGCATGAGTGTTTAACATTTGTAATGAAGAGAATTAGGCGGATGAAAAAAAAAAAAAATCAGTCATTGTTTCATTCCTTAGCTGTAAACACACACTGGTGCTACTGGTCAAGCGAGTAGGAGTGGCAGTTGTCAGTGCACAGCCTTATATTCATCATTTTTTTCCTTTTTTTTTTTGAATAGGAGGAAAATATATGAGAAAAGCGGGGTTTGGAGAAGGAGAAGGGAAGGGGAGCCTTCAGGCTGCTATTTATATATATGCAAAAACGCATAAAAATCATTCATTGTTTCATTCCTTAGCTGTAAACACACATTGGCTGCTATTTATATTGGCCTGTGAAGTCGTGTCCCGATTCCTCTGCCTTTATCGCTGTAAATAGGCCCTGATTTCAAATACCCCTCCCCCGCCCACTTCCCGTTCCCCCGCGACATCACACTGTATTCGAAGTCCACAATGCACATGTGTGGCCAGTGTAAGGTGCTCTGTCTGTTTCGCTGGGACACTAACAGAAGTCGTTGTTGTTTTCAGGTGGAACAGGCCGCAACAATGTCATTTCGTCGCTTTTGCAGACTCATAACACAGTCGTTTCCGGCAGCAGTCACTTGGTTGCTGATCATTGTTTGCACCGCGTGCTTCTTCTATCTGCTGGCTCCGGCCATCGTTGCACAGCTCAGCGCCTGGGGCTATGTGCTGTGCGCTCTGGATGCCGTCCTGTTCGTGTTGCTGATGTCCAACTTGTATATGGCAGCCACCATGGATCCAGGTGTTCATCCACGGGGTAACAGATTTTTTCTGCACCGTTACAACAAGATACAATCACAAAAAATTAACAATACTGGGCATTATCACTTTTTTCGAAGTTCTAATGCCTTTAGGAAACCCAAATTTGCCATATCTTATCACCAATATGTGTGAAAAATCTCCGGTCCTTGAAAATATTGAAACCTTCGACTAAATACGTGAGAATAAATAAATCAATGTGAACAGTATATTTTTTAGTAGTGATAATACAAATGAAAGTCTGCAAAAGATTGAAAATTAAACGAAATAACTGGGAAGAAATGTTTCGGTTCATTAAATCGTATACATTCCTTATCAGCACCACAAAAATAACGAGCTAAGTAATTGTTAGTTGTCAAAAAAGACGAGAAATGGCCCATGAAACTAGCAGCTAGTGCCACTCTAGCTGATACTCTCTCTGACAGTGAAACAACCAGTCTCTGTGCGGATTCGCTCAATTGTTTCGAT